CAGTAGCAGGGTGCAGGGTCTTGAAATTGGGTCGTCTTCACTCTTAGCAGAACCAGAAGTAGCAGGGAGAAGAGAGAGAAGAAGAAGAAGGAAGATGGGCGGGGGAATTGAAGTTGATAAAGATTGGAAGTACACTTGATATGGGAAAGAGAAGGCTATTTGGTTTGTTTGGGTTTCATATTTCAAGTTTTCAACTACGTCTACTACAACACTCAAACCACGTAGCAACTTTATTTAACTTTACCTACAACAAACAAACAACACACTCTTTCATTTCAATCAGATAGATAAAAAGAGTTAATAATGTGGTCCAAACTCCAAAATGTTAAATAACCTATTCAACTTCTGGTTATCAAAAAAAAAACTATCCAACTTCTTTCCAATATCAAGTGTATTTCCAAATTCCAATCTTTTTATTGCTGCTCTTGGTATGAGTGAAGGTGATTGGGAAATTTCTATCACCTCCCAAAAAAATTGAATTATTTCGAAATTTATCGAAATTTCCACAAATTGATCGAATTTTAGCTTGGCCAAAACTCCCCATTCCCACACATGGAATCGGCATATTCTGGCATATACCTATTTTCCAAAGATCGAAATTTCTACATATCTCGACATCTTGATCTATGGCTAGGATTACAAATAAGAGGGGTACATGAGTTTCTTATTTGGAAAAATACACAAAATAGAAGTTTGGAGGTGTTTTCACGTGTTGGGCCTTATTTGGGCCCAACTTAGACGATTTTCAAAGGTTCGAAAATATCGGGCGAACGTTCGGATTGCAGAAAACCAGTTTATTGTATGTTCAGTGACTTTTCCGAACGTTCGGGTATCGAGGGCAAACGTTCGGATTGCCTTGTCGCTAAACCTGTCAGAACTTCAAACCCACTTTCCGGACTAACTACAATGAATCAAAAAGTGTTCCATATACCGTTGGAAAGCTAAAATAGTCTATTTTCCAGCCTAAAAACGGATTGATGTTCCGATCAACGAGCAGAAAGTTATGGCTTAATTACTACAGGAGTGTATATGGGCATCTTGGACTTCACACCATGAACTTCTATTTTCGATGTATAGATCCTCCTGGATCACTTCATGTTGAGCATAATAAATTATCTGCACGATCTTCTTTATGTTTGTTTCTTGGCTATGGTGATGGCTAAAAGGGTTATTGTTATTTTGACCCTGTTGCATAGAAGTTGTATGTATCATGGCATGTTTTCTTTCTTAAGTATATTCCCTTCTTTTCTATTCCCACTAGTTTCCATCATATGTCTAAGTCTGATCTCATAAATATTGATCCTTTTGCTCAAGATATAGATGTCATGACTCCTCCTCACCATTCTTTCAGGGATGAAACTGTTATTTGTGCAGATAATGATGTTCCATTCTTACTAGATGCTCCTTAAGATACACCTCGTGTGGTTCATAAACATGGGGAGGTGTGTAGGCTAAAAAAGCTCTTTACGGTCTTAAACAAACTCCTCGCGCCTGGTTTGACAAGTTTTATTCTATGATCATCTCTCTTGGCTTCCATTCTAGTGCTCACGATTCTGCCTTGTTTGTTTGTTCCTCGTCTGCTAGTCGGATTATTTTGCTCTTATATGTTGATGATATGATTCTTACTAGTGATGACTTGGATGGTATTGTGTCGTTAAAGTTGCAATTAACTCACAAGTTTGACATGAAAAATTTGAGACTCTTGAGATACTTCCTTAGTATCGACGTTGCTTCATCTCCTATAGGTTAACTTCTTTCTCATTCTAAGTATGGAAAAAACATCATTCATTGTGCTCGACTTACAGATAATGAGACAGATGAGATGCCCATTGAGTTTAATGTTCATTACTCTTCTTCTGGTGGTAAACCTTTACCGGACCCGACCTTGTATCGTACTATAGTTGGCAGCTTAATGTATCTTACCATCACTCGGCCATATATTGCATATGTTGTTCATGTGGTTAGTCAGTTTGTTTCTTGTCCCACAGCTGTTCATTGGGTTGCAGTTGTCCGAATTCTTCACTATCTTCGGGGAACTTTTCATCACACTTTATGCTTCTCTTCTACTTTTGATTTAAAGCTCTGACTTATTCAGATGCTAGTCATGGTGGTAACGTACTGTTCGCAAGTCAACTACTGGATTTTGTGTTTTTCTTGGTGACTGTCTTACTTCTTGGAAAAACAAAAATCAAGATGTTGTTTCTAGATCGTCTTGTGAGGCTGAGTATCGTACCATGGCCACCACTACTGCTGAGATTGTTTGGTTGCGTTGGTTGCTTGCTGACATGGGTGTTCCTCTCATTGCTACTACTCCTATGTATTGTGACAATAAGAGTGCCATTCACATTGCTCACAACTCTGTTTTTCGCTAGACCATTATACACTTTCGCTATTTGCATGAAACACTCTCGATGCTTATTGCGCGGCATCATGAGTTTGAGCCTTTGAAGGGGATACAAGAGTAATAGAGTTGTAAGGGTATTATAGTATTTTCCTTTGTATAAGGCTATATAAGCCAAATCTGATTCCAATGTAATTGTTCTGTTCGTTCTGTACTTCTGTTTGTATCTAATATGAACCCTAGTTCTATTTCATAACTTGCTCTTATTTTTCATGGCCGAGTTGAAATTAGAGGAAAATGGAGATGGGGAACATGCAGCTGGTTTAGTTAAAGAAGACGATACAATTATTCAGAACAGTGCCAAGAGCAGAGAAGTAGTGAGTGACGTGGAAGACAGTAACAGTAGTAGTACTTCTAAGTCTGAGACAAAAGGTGATGACAGTTCTACTTCTTCCTCATCTTTAAGCAGTGAAGAAGATGCAGATGGAGATGAAGAAAGGGAGATGGATGTGGCAGTTGAAGAGGGCGAGATAAAGGATTTTGATCCCAAAGAGACACTAATTGGAAGCGATGAGGCAGGGCCGGCTCTGTCTTTTTCGAGGCCTTACTCGAGATTCTAATATGAGGCCTTTTATACGATCGAATCGAATGTAAAGAAAAAAAATTGTCTGTCATTGTGTTTGTGTTTATGTTTGTATCGTCTTTTTTTTTGATGAAAGGTATAATTCTATTATAAGAGCAACAAAAATTACATCCTTGAACAGTTTTTGATAACCCTACAAAGATAACCCATTATAATATATACAAAGATCAAATACCACACCCCCTTAACCAACATACAAAGCACAAAAGAAACATTACACATATAGAACATAAGTACATAACACTATGGAGAGGGAGAGGTACTTTTTTTATAGAAGACAAATCCTAATTGAGTAATTAACTAATTGTTTAATGAAGATTGTCGGCATAAAGCTTAAATAAGAAAAATATACATAATTAAGTATTTAAGTAATTGGATTTACCTTTCTAACTTTCTATTAGATGACTAGAATACTAGATGTCTAGATGAGATGATCGTTGACGAAACTCTGAAGATCAAAATCATCGAATTGAAGAATGGAGAGAATTAGAATTAGTGAAGTACGAGTAGTCGAGTAGAGAAACAATCATTCAGTCAAACAGATTACAAATCGTGGGTTAATTGATATTAGGGATTTCTAAAAATCTAAAATTCTAAATCATAATTGTATTGGGCTATTGCCTATTGGGTAGTTGTGTTCAGGAGAATCAAAGATTGGGCTTAAAAT